ACAACTTAGAGCAATGGTAAGTTTTTCCTACAAAACTACCTTGAAAAGAGAAAACATGTGCCTTATGAATCCAATGATCCAGCACTAAAATTTTTCGAGACAACTTTTTCGAAGTCAATCGCAAAGTAGTTCTCTTAACTTCGTATGCATTTTTAGAAAAATAATCGAAGTTCATGGACAGACAGATCATCAAGCCCTTCAAATTTTGCCTCTTGGGGTTATTTGTGAAATAACATGTTTTAAAGCACGTCGCGCCAATTTGTAATAGAACGTTGAAATAAGCCCGTATAAGACACGCAATGCAAGAGATTGAGAGTAAGAAAGTGAGAGAGATCACGAATCCGATGCCTATAAAAGCAAGGGGATGTATTAAACAAACTCAAGGTTATATTGAAAGCAGGTTGAATAACGTTGAAAATTGGCGCTATAGATATTTTAACCAAACTTTTTTTAGCATAGCGACACTGAGGTAACGCACGTGGTTTGAAATTTCAAAAAGAATTCAACAATTGCGACGAAAAATCTATGCTCAGTATTATAGTTTAGAGTATGTTGCTGAAATATAATTGTATCGTTTAGCTCTTTAGGAAAAACATTTTTAACTGAAATTTTGAAGCCCTGGATAGAATTTTAAGTCGATTAGATTTTCAGTGCCGGGATACATGTTCAAATTCAACAATCAAATCAAACAGCTTTTTACCAGATCACTTTGCACTTGAACGAATCTTCTCCGAATGAGTGTAACATCGATTCAAACATTACATACTGCAACAATCTGTAGCAAGTGATTTGATAGAATATTTCAAGTTTTAGATGTAAATGTTGAATGTTTCTTACATGTACACACGGTGGCAGTAAAATAGTAATGATTATATCGTCAAACGGTTCCTAAGAAAAAATCTTTGTTGAAGCCGGTGCATAGGTACTTACAAATAATTTTATCTGGGTAGGTACTTTGCTTAACCTTAGAGTCGTTGGAAAGACCGAATTAACTAACGTTTTTTTATTACGAACTGATAATGAGTGCTCTTTTTGATATAACAAACGCATTGCTTGTCAAAATCAACAGAAGCTAGTTGGGATTCTAGTTAATTGATACTGGGACTCAAGCTGTAAAAGATAATTAATAATTTAAACTAACTTGGACTTTTACGTTAAGATTTACGGTAGCGATTCTACTATTGTTCAATGTTATCAATTATGAAATATTCAGTTCATATTTGAACAATATTTGCCCTAAATATTTTCTTGTTTGCAAACTGTGAAATATTTTTGGCTTTTTAAACGTTATTTTCTATCACTTTTTGATAAGAAATTCGTTTTTTGGATAAAAAAGAGTAACAAAAACTCTTAAAAAGCTCGGTTTTTCTAACGTCCATAAAGCTGTAAGAAAATTGTGAAACAAAGCGTCAGTCTAAAATAAAACATACAAAAATATCAGTAAATTCCTAGCTTAAGTGAGTCTGTGTTTTTAATTAAGTGGATAGAGTTTCTCGTCTATATTATACCTACTACTTTAATACCTAAAAAGCTCCTAATTTCAAAATAATTATCGAGCAAATGAAAATTGAACAATTCCAAATAAGGTATTCAGAAAGTCGGTTCCAAACGTTGGTTGATAGAAGCATAATACTCCTGAATTTCCACCGACTTGCGATGTAAACAAACAATAAATCAAAAACAGCATAGCATACGATACGATTTCTTCAGTTAATCTGTTTGATTTGATTGATAAAATTAATTTTTCTGAAATCAGACTAGTAAAACTACAGTTCAAGTTATTAATGAAGATTTTCGTTCTCACGAGAACTTTGAATACACTTCATAACTGGTTATCTATAGGAAAACAATACTAAGGACCGGAATTTTGCATAATGTAGTAGTTTCTGTGTGTTCACATGCTTTTGTCGTAAAAGCACAAAACTCTATAGCTGATCATTTTTATGAACTCAGTAAGTGCGCAGTTAATGACCGTGTAAAAATACATGTGTATGGCAAAAAGCATTTACGACAACACCAATTATAAACACCTTGTAAATAACTATATTCTTCACTTGCTGCTCTGGATGGATTTCGTAATTACATACCGAATTAGGATTATTGAAACGGCGATAAATCCACCGGGAAAAAAAGGTCAACGGCCACGAGGGTGAAATAACAGTAGAAAAAGTTCACGCAGGGTAACCAGTGAAGCTCCAAGGGATAGCAAGAGCAGCTTTTCTTTTTTAAAATCTTCTACCTCTAAGCCCCACAGTTTTCCAAAATTTTCGTAGCTGTGCTAATAGGAACAATGTTTATTTTTTGAAACACTTTATTTATCTTATAAAAGGCCCAAAAGTGCAAAGCTCATGGCAAAAAATCAAAATTTAGCGATTTGTTAGTGAATTTGATAGAAACTTAATTGAAACTTGCCCTATATCCAACTAAAACGCATTTATTTCTTAGTAAACAATTAAAACGTATTCCTTTAAGTTTTATCCTACAGATAACAATACCTACATAATATAATTAAAATTTAATTAATATATATAGCTTTTTCCGATAGCTAATCGAATTGCGAAACGATAGCAATTTCCGTTTGGTAATGCTGATAATTTTATAAATGTTTATATTATACGTCAAATATATCCTACACATATTTGATTATTGGGTCTACTGAATGGTCTAATGGTATATTTTCGTAACTTTTGCATGCCCAAATACGATCGATATACTTAAAAAAGTTCAAGAGGTGATGCGAAATAAATGTTTACACATATCGCTTGCTAAAAGATGTAAGTACTGGATGTCCAATTATTGATCAAAGATAATATCTAAACGGTTTGCCTGTCTTTAGAAAATCAGGTAGGTAGTACCTTGAAGTTACACACGAAAGTTACAATTTTTGTCATGAATTTAAAAAATTGCCAAATGAAAAAAGTTTACAAAATTAGGTATTTGTTTTGATTATTCTGGAATTAAGTACCTACTATATGTAATTTCGATGTAAATTACAAATAGGTATTACCAAACCGCCTATAGAATAAAAAAATCAAATTGAAGCTCGACTCAAGTAAATCGACCTAAACTCAGTGCAAGGCTCAGTGAGTCTTCAAGACGGCCAAATTTCATATCCTTTCCATAAATTTCCTAATTTTTATTATATTAAGTATTCATCTTCTCACAAAGAACAGCATTGTATGGTTTTATCGCTATTTTGGCCTAGTTTTTTTTATTGCAATAATGATTTAAATATTTTTGAACCTTTCAAAGGTTACAGAGATAACGTTGTTTTGAATTAAAACTCAATGAGATCCAGGCAGCAATATTCGCAAGGATTGTCTTTCAGTTTCACTTTTTTGTTTGCATATTTAATGAAAAATCCATTGATTTCAAAATTAGGAATTTGAATGTTTAGAAGTCATTTTAAAGGCCATACGGATTTGTGATGTGATTTGTGGATTATTAGGGATGACAGCTGTTTGTGCTAAATATTAACGTGGTACCAAATGCTTGAAAAACACAATTTTTCAATATGTTTTGTTTAACTATAGTGTTTCTCGTTATAGGTACAACTGAAAATATATTAACGATAATTTTTCTTTTGCCTACTCTGTTTAATAGTTTGTTTTCGAGATCTTCGTACGGTTTTTCAGTTGAATGATTATTTGTATGCTAAATAAAGATAAAATAAAATGTGAATCTCCAGCCGAATTAATTAATATTGCAAGGAATGTTATTAGAGGTGCTTTAATCTGATGAACCATCGCTTCTCCATTTAAAAAAAATGCGTCGGTTGTAAGAAGTGAGTTATGAGCAATCCCATAATGGCGTATTCAATTTTCATTGAATTGTTTAATTATACCTGCTTCCAAATTGAACAATTATTATTCATCTTATAAGCTTGTGTTAGTATTTTCATTATGAAACAATTAGTTATACAGGGTGTCCCACCGGGAACCGCCGCGATCGATATCTGGTAAACTATAATTAGGAGAAATTTGAAAATTGGACAGTATGCCGAAGTCATTGGGGGCAAGCGATCTAAAGTATGTTTAAGATGGCGACACTTCCGGTCATACCTACATAGTAGGTATCAACTTGCTTATTTTAAATGGAACACCCATATCATTACATTTCTGAATTCAACTCCAAATTCTAAATATATTTCATGTATAATATCCGATACCTAAATCTAATTCCTCTGGAACTCATGTTTTGATGAAGCAACCGAGTTCATCCGCTTTGAACACAGCGAGGAATTTTCGAGTGTCTTGCTACGAAAACTACCAGAACTTATTGGTGGCTGGAATCAACGATTACACCACTAATCACGGTTGAACATTTTTGGGCTATTTGTAAAATCTTGTGGCATTCATAGCTTTTACACACAAAAAATATTTTTGTTTTCTTGCCATTTAACAATTTCAGACACTAACTGCAAACTTCGTAGTAAGTCATAACGTTCCTTTAAAATAAATATAAAAAATAATAATAATAAATATAAATAATATAAATAATAAAATGATGCCGTTTAAATAGAACAGCTTTTGTTTTATTAATTGTCAATTTAACTACGATTAACAGTTCCTTTCGTTCAAAGCAATTTTCCAATCAATTTATTTTACATTTTCGTGATGCTGTTTATAAAAAAGGCATTAGGACTTAGCAGATTGGATGTAGATACCTAATTGAAGTTCCAAAGTCATTCTCAATTCTCTCTTTCTAGTCTACATGAGAATAGCTAGTATGAGAGAGCAAGGTTAATGCTCAAACGAAAAAGTTTCACTCAAGTTTCCAATTAATTTGGCATTTTGCCGCAGGAAAATTGATGTTTTTGGAAATATTGCATATTTAGACTTATTTGGTGCAGCCGGAAAAAAACATTCGAATTTACATAGTTAACAGCACATGGAGGTTAATGTTTTCGCGCCCTACATGTCCTAACCTCCCCTATGAATTTGGAAAGGGCTGATGCCCCCTCCATGCTGTAACTGTAGTGTGGGGACTGAAATAAAGACAGTTGGACCGGTGTTTCTATCAGTCTTCGTTGAGTATTCGAGGCGACGGTTTGTCGGAGCTCATGGTAGTGTCGTAGTGGTGTCGAACTTTTAACGTCGTCCTTTAGAATTATGACCTTGTGATAAATTACAAAAAAAGACTACATTTCGCTTTGGATTACTTACTTTACACCTAAACAAAATGTGGGATTCAATTGAGAACAACTCCTGTGATTCCTGCGAATTTGCAAGGTAACTAAAACATCTAATCCTCTCGTGCTTGAATCGCGAGTTTCGCAGTGAAAGTGAAATTTTCTTAGCCTAGAACAGCTGACTCTCCGTTTAAACTTTAAATGGACCGTCTCAAACCGCTGATTTTACTTTGATAACTAGTGTGGATGATAGTTACACGTTTGGCCATCCACCCATTTGCGATATAAAAATTTTAATTGAAACATAAAATCGAAATCCATGTGAGTGTAATCAATTGAACTGAAATTCAACAAAACCAATTGGTTCAATTGCAAGAATGGTTTCAATTTAACACAAATTCTTAAGTGAACTAGTTCATTTTTTCCAATTTAAAAAGTTATATAGCAGATTTTTGCATTAAAGCTCAACTTTATGCTGTATTCGTTTCATAGGAGATGCAATGGCACGAATTGAATTTTTTGTTAGTATCAGACGAATTTTCTTTAAATAGAGCCACTCAATTTTCCCCATTCGCTTGAAAAGCATTTAATCTCAAGCAGACTTCAAACAGTTAGTCTCTTTCGTCCATAATAAGTCAAGGAAACGACAACTTAATATTTTTCGTATAAGTAGAACCGGTTTAACCAGCGCTTAAAATTGGGAACCCTCTGATTTGTTTCATTCATCAACGTTGAACACTGATCAGTAATATATAGAAAAAATACAAGCTAAGCCCTGTTCGTAATATAGTTATATATTCAAACATTTTTTACAGGAAGGAAATCTCGCAAGATGACTTTTTTGTTAAGGAGACAATCAGTCCATCCAAAAATGAATTATCGTTATTTGAGGAAGCAACTCCTATCACATCTTACTGCGGAACGAATTCTTCTCCTCACTTTCCCACAAGACGTTCATTGGACGATATGGACGCCTCTTCGCAAGACTCTGGATATGACACCGTCTTCCAGGCTGAAAATGGAAGATTTCTTTCCTATGCATCCCCTACTAGAGATCATTCATTCGGTTCTGGGTCAATTTGTTCCATGGAAGAAGACTTTTTGGAAGACTTTGCAGAAATTGAAACCATAGAAAAGCCAGCGATATTACCCAAAGATTTTAATAAACTCATTAGTGATCCACTAGTTATGAGGGCTAATCCTGAAGAGCACTCTTCGCCCAAAGACACCATCATAAGACCGTTATTTCGTCGTGCCTTGTCTTTGCAAAACCCAACAACTTCTAAAAACAGCAAAGTACGGACAAGCCTATTTGGTTCTGATGATGAAGAAAATAAGGAAAATCGATCATCGGTGAAAAGAGCTGAACCTCCTACAAGTATTGAAAATACTTTCATTAAGAGATCCAAATTTCTTATGGAGTATTCTTTTCCTCAACAAAAATCTACTGGAATGAAAGGACTTTTCAACAGACAATTTTCGGCAACCGAGGAAAGTATTATGTGTGCAGTTCAGAGATCATCAACTGAACCAGATTTAATCGGGGACTTTAGCAAAAGTTATTGTCTTCCCTTGATAAATGGCAGACACCAAGATCTCAAAGCCATTACTGCAGAAACTTTAGCTAAACTAATGAAAGGAGAGTTTAGCAACTCTGTAGAGTCTTTCAAAGTAATTGACTGCCGTTATCCATATGAATTTATCGGAGGCCATATTAATGGTGCCCTAAACATATACACAAAGGAACAAATCTCTGAATTGCTGGATAAAAGTACACTTCCATCTTCTATCTCAGGAAGAAGGCACATTCTCGTTTTTCACTGTGAGTTTTCCAGTGAAAGAGGACCAAACTTGTAAGTTGATCAATAATAATTATTAATTTGCCTTTGCTGTTTCATGCTTTATACCATCAAAATTTTAAACTCATTAATACCACAAAGCTGTATACAAGAAACAATTAAAAAATATCAAGATTTTAAAAATGTTCGTTTGTTTACAGATATCGTTACTTGCGTAAAGAAGATCGCACAAAAAATATGAGCGATTACCCTGCGCTCCAGTTTCCAGAAATTTACCTTCTGGAAGGAGGCTACAAGAGCTTCTTTCAACAGTTTTCTGAAATGTGCCTGCCAGTAGCTTACAAGGAAATGTTACACCCCGATCATGAGGACGATCTTCGTCATTTTAGACAAAAATCTAAGACGTGGAATGCGGATAGCCGCCCGCGACCAATGCGAAGTCTGAAGAGATTGTGAATGTTTTAATTTATTTCACCTTAATGAGTACAAAATATTTAAACCGTACGTACGTATCAGTTCTTTTGCCGTTTGAATTGGCTTTTTTTTTAAATTTTCGAATTGGTTTTTTTGGTTCGAATTAGTTCTTTTATTGTTCGAATTAGTTCTTGTTTTGTTCTATTAGTTCTTGTTGTTTTTACCAGCTTTTTCGACTGTTCTCAGTTTGACTCTGCTGACTGCTTTGGGTAATTTGTTCTTTAACATTACATAATGTAATTTTCTGATTAAAAATATTTTTAAACATTAGATTGATACAATTACATTCACGTAAGTAAGTCCTAGTCTTGTTAATTAAGATTTATTTTGTATATAAGAGTATATCCAAACAAAGTAGCTTTTTATGCTCAGTCATGGTATAATGAGGGGCCTTCTATGCAATGCTACCACCAAAGTTGTCGTTTGTTTTTCTTATTTTATTTAATGGACGTAATCGAACAAGGTTCACTTATTTATCATGTTTTTATTTGTTGAGTGCAATTTTCCTAGCAATACTTTTGTGATTATGCTTCCTCAACCAAATCTTTTTAATAGAGTGGCTCAACTCTTTCTGATTTGTTTGAAAAGCATTCTATATTTATTTAAACTGTATTTTAATTTAAGCGTAATTTCAGTATTTTAGAATATTTTGTGTGTTCCGAGCATAAATCAAGAGACAAGGTATACTATAATCAAACTTAGCTGATTTGTGTATTAAACAGACTGAATTATTATAACACTTGTTCTGCTTGATTTTTGTCTCTATATATACATATTTGTGGGCTAGTTTACGATATAATTATATCTGCTAAGATATTAATTTATGAATAAACAGTCTTTATTTGATATATTTCGTGTTTTATTATAATCAAGAGATTGACAAAATTATTTTGTTAATGGAGGTCATTTTTTCAAACTCAAATTTTGAACCCCGATTTTCGTTGGGTATCTTGCCTCAACATTTTTTAGACATAATTTTTCCACGTCCTTAATTAGTTTTTATTAATTTTCCATTAGTTTTGAAGCAAACCACTTCTGAAGATGCAAGCCACTCGTGCTTCCGAAACGTCAGGAAGAAATTCTACCGAACGACTGCCTAAAAACTCAGAAAAACCCATTAATTTCAAGCAATGACCTCTTTTGAAATTCCTTTTGATAAAAAAAATAAGTGTTGGAAGGTTGGAACATAACATAACATTACAAATTGTTTTTCAATAAAATTGTTGACTAAATGTTAGTTTTATCTAGTATTGCACCCTATTAAATAAAGATATTAAATACACATACTAATGGTGTATAGTCTATCTAATCAAACTAAGCGCGGGAAATTGAAGAAAGACTTATATGGTAAAGCCAGTCCAAATAGTTTCTCAATCAATATTTGCAATCAGTCCCAGAAACGAAACTGAAGTTACGATAAAATTAAGAATAATTGAATTGACAAAACTGCCGGTATTACAGAATGTTCTATTTGATCGGTTGAAAAAATATTTCAATGTTTATATCCGTTTAATACATTTCACATTTCACTCTTAATGAATAGAGCCATTAGGATCGAAAGCCTTTATAGCAGGTAACTTTCGAGCCACCATTGTTTACTGCTTAGAAAGTTTTCCCTTTTTCAAAGCATATCATATAGACAGGGTGGTAGCACCCACTCGAGAATTCTATATAGTACCTGTTCCATAAAATGTGCATTTTGGTCTCTCTACCTACCTAGAACCAAATTGATTTTTGCCGATCAGGTCTTTCGTACTCTTTGAGAGTAAACAAACCGCAAAAAGGCGGTTTAAGGTTAATATTTATTCGCCTATTTAAAGAACCCATGTTTCTTAAGCCCAGACACAAGCAGATTGGAAAATGTTTCATACATTTTAGATATGTAGGTACAGTGGCACATTCCATAGTGAATTAATAAGTATTTAAGAATATACGCATGATTTGTTCTCAAAGTAGAATCACTTAACCTGTACGTTCGTCTATTTAAATCCAAGTTACAACTTGCAATCAATTTAATTATCATCATCATTTTCAACATAGCAAGTTATTGACATTTTTACCAGTATGTTGCTGTTATGAATACTGAATATTTAAGAGCATTTAAGACATGCTGATAAATAACAATAAGCTTCTATATTATGGTTATATCTCGTTATCCAAGTATCCAGATTTCTTCTTTCTTCATCAGGTAGCTACGACCCCTTACATTAGTAAGTATACAAATATATACAATTAAGTATAGGAAATATAATTAAATTCTATGATCAAGGGTAAAGTTTGAGCCTAAGTTTGCAATTCATATTTTAAACAAGTCTAAAAAGACACTTACAGCAAATTATCGATATAGAACAGATCGTTTTAACATAAAATCGATTTGAAACGATTTTGATTGAAAAAAATCTATTTCCTTCTCTAAAATTTCGTTATGTACGAAAAGCTGTTTCCCTTTTTACTATAGCAAAATCCTTAACTGGTGTTATTTGAATAATTAGAATTTCTTCCTGACGTTTCACAAGCACGAGTGGCTTGTATCTTCAGAGGTGCTTTGCTCGAAAGCTTCACCATTATATAAATTAACAAATTATGTATTAAAGTATGTATTCTTGCTTAAATAGGTTGTGGCCTAGCGCTTTCTGCAGGAACGTCATCATCAGGGCCTTTGAAGATGGAAGCAACTCGTGCTCGGAAAACGTCAGAAGAATTTCTAATTTACGGCGACACACAAATCCGACAAACTCACCAGTTTCTTTTAAAAATTGTTTTTTGTAACAAATCTTCTGATAGAAAACTAGTTTTATAAACAGTATTCTGATAATAAGCTTTTCCAGCGAATTCGCAAATTTTTGAAAACAGGCCATCAACAGGCGTCAAAGATTTCCTAGATAAGCAGGTACCTATATCAGGTAAGGTATACCTGCCAATTGAAATATGTGAAGCAAGAAATACGTTTGAAATTATTTTATGTGTTGTAAAGATCCTATAAAAATGTTTTTCAAAATTTAACTTTAATATATTGTAATGAAATGTAATGCTAATATTGTCTCTTCAGTAAATTGGCCATTCTTTTTTAACTAACAAGTGATCATTCAACATGAGAAGCATGTTTTGGGGTCCATCCCCTCCATAACTAACAGAAAGTCAGACAATCGTCACCACTTCTAATCCACATAAAAACCCATTGCACTCTTCGACAAGGTCTAGTAAAGGTCCAACTGAAGCGAAAAGGGCCTGTTAAATTTATCTACTCTAGCCGGCATCTGCTCGTCTTGACGCATTATTAAGATATACTTTTGGTGGTGTTCCGTCTTTGAAATATGTATTGTGAAGAAAGTGATACTGGTAACTTTGTGGAAGATGAATATGTTACAAGGTATGTTCTAACATCTCAATAACTAAAATTAGTAACTGCATGTTTTACCCTCGAGAATCTGTAATCAATGAATTATCATGATCCTCTAAAAATTTGTACGTAGCTACTTGAAAATCACGTGGTTATATAATTATATGAACGCCGGTCTTTTAAAGTGATGTAAGCCTATGAAAAATTTGAGATAAAATCTAGTTCAATAGCAATATGTGCTTTTTACTTGTGCACCATGTGCTTTTAATCTATGAGCCGTTTCCGAAAAAAATCGTTCAACTTTTGCAATACTGCGATTATTATACATTAATATAGTCATTGAACGCTCAAATATAAATACTTTGAAACTGGTAGAAGCGACAAAAATTTAATATTTGATTCGAAGATGATTGTATAGGAAATAACAAAGTAAAACGTGTGTGCGACTAATTTATCGAAGGTTCCAAACCTAAAATATGATGATATTATATCATTTCTTTACTTCTTTCTATATTAGCCCGTAAGTACTACTATCCAATTTTTGGTTCACAATTGCTACTATCGGGTCCCGCGGACCCACTACTTATTTGTCTTAACAAAACAAAAAAAGTCAGTCTCGTTTCTTCAATTTCATTATTTGTATGTTGTACAATAGATTCCAAAATATCATTTGTGAAAATAATTTCCCATGCATCTAAAGGGGTCTTTGGTGGAAAAACTGATATTTATAATGATATACATATAATATACAGCGTCTCCCGCAAGCACATGTTCTAAAGGGTACTGCGATATCTTTTAGATCAAAAGAAGAAGTAATAGTTTAAACACGTGCAGTAACAGATCAATATTGGGACCTATTCCCAATATTTTTCCAAATACTTATTCAAACAAAAGGCCGTACCTCGTAGCTCGACACCACTAACAAAGAGCAGAATATAAAGAAAGGAGTGAGACAAAGCATTTAAATTAGGCTTACCTGTAATGTATCGACGGCAACAAAACATAGAACTGGCGGTGAATAGGGCAAATTAAATTACAACGTGCAAAGTTTGACCTAGTCGACATTGCCAGACGCTATTCCCTTATGGGTTACGTTTGGTTTTACTTGCCCGGGAAATATATTAGTACAGTAAAACTTGCCACTAGCAACTTGACAATAATCATAATGTATGATATATTTATTTATAGGTCAAACGTGGAAGATTTGTCCTTATTCGACACCACTTCAAGAGACTCAGGATTTGAAGAACTTGGTATGGAGCTATCTACTGAGGCTGATTTTCTCGAAGAATTTGGTGAAATCAATGTGGCGATAAAAGCCGATTTACCACCTCACTTGGACGTACTTATAAATGGACCAGAATTGAAAATAAGTGATAGACAATCAACAACCTTTAGCGATTCCTGTTATCTTAAGGAAGTTAATCCATTAATCAATGGAAATAGCCAACAGGCTGACGCGGAGGAGTATGAAACTACGTTTTCCTTAAGAAAAAGAAAATATGTGACGACTCAAACTGAGACATGCAGTACCGTTTCTACAGAAAATAGTCACTTGAAATTTCATTGTTCGGAAGATGTAATCAAGTCAGCGCTGGAAAGATGCGAATTCGATCCCGATTTAATAGCTGACTTCAGTCGCTGTTACTCTCTTCCTTTGACTGTTTCCCGCCATCACGACTTGAAGGCTATTGCAGCTACAACGCTGAAGAATTTACTAGACGGAAAATTTAGTGGAAGAGTGCCCTCATTCACCATTATAGACTGTCGATACCCTTATGAGTTCCAAGGTGGACACATCCCCGGCGCAATAAACCTATATACACATGAACAGTGTTCTGCAATGTTAGAAGAAATCAGTTTCAATGGAAAACTAGATAAACCTAACGTCTTAATCTTCCATTGCGAATTTTCTGCTGAACGAGGACCAAACTTATACAGGTATATGAGGCAAGAAGACAGAAAGAAGAATATGCAAATGTACCCTTCACTGTACTTTCCAGAAATGTACATTTTGGAAGGGGGATATAAGCGGTTCTATGAGGAGTACTCAAATATGTGTTCTCCACCGAGTTATATCGAAATGCGTGATCCAAGGCATACCAATGATATGCTACTGTGTCGGCAAACTTCAAGAACCTGGGACTCAGATATGAAAAACTGCATGCGAAAGCGAAGCTCAAAGAAAAACTAGTACTACAGAAAAACTACTTGTATAGTACTGGTAAACTAGTACTATGCAAACTAGCATGTTTGTGTTTCTAAAAAGTTATTTTTGAAAGACATAATCATTACTATAGTATTAAGTTCAGTGCAACTAGAAAAGCACGTCATTAATTCGTGCAATTTGTGTAAAAGTGCAATCGTATAACTAGATCAATGTGAGTAACTTGAAATTTTTTTCTAAATTTAGTGTACCATGTATGTCAGTTTATAAAATCACATTCGATTTCCTACGTCAAGTCAATTGACAAGAATATATTCAAAATGACGCTAAGCGCCATGCCATGTTTTTTCAAATTATTGATAATTAGGAATAATTAAATTGAAAGTGATAAGCCCTATTGTTCTAACGGGTAAATAGCGATGTGATATCTAGGTTTAGAAGAAATAAATGATTGATAATTTACACTTAAGACTGAATAACTTTTTTTATTTCACACATCATCTTTTGAACCGAGTTTGCAACCGCATTTCATACCTCATTCATCCAATTATTTTTAGCTTTTTCTCACCTTTTTTGATTTTGTTCTTATCACAATCTGTCCTACTTCTAGTACATTTTATTTGAAACTGCTCTAAGGCAACTTTTCACTGAAAGCTTCCTAACGATAGCAATGAATATACTCTTAATAAATAATAATAATACTAATAATATAATAATAATACTCTTAATAAATAATAATAATGCCATGTAATAAATTACATGGCATTATTATTATTTATTAAGTATACTTAGTTTATGTAAAACTAGATGTTATTTTAGAAGTAATATGGAATTTTCCTATTATACCATATTTTGAAAATGCTTGAGCTCGCATCTGCAGGGTGTTAAAACGTTTTTATTATTTTTTCTACGCATTTTATCGACGCTGATGTTAGTCTTAAAAGGTTACGGATGGAGATCGTAGTTTCGTAACCCTTTATCATTTTTGTTGCTTATTTTATTATTTAAGCTTTCCGCAATCACAGGAAATATCTGACATTTTTCAATAAGTGTAAATACCTCGAATTGGACGAATTGCTGAATGCGTTTTCAGATGAGTCCTTATAAATAGACTCCTCGGTCGACATTTATTAACACCCAAGACTATTTAGCTCAAAAATGGAGAATGCTGAATGTTACAGTTTTCAAATGTGTCAATCTAGACGATTAGGTGGAAACATAGGTGGAATAATTGAAAACTGAAAGACTCTATATTCACAGTATTTCAAGTTGCATTAATGAACACTCTTGATTGATAAAGTAATAGTTCTTTCGGGAGACCCGAATTAAATAATGTTATAATACACGATACAGTTATTTCACATGATTTAGTAGAGCCAGTATAACTTAATAATATGTATGTAGCTTATAGTAGGTCAAAGTCCGTTATCACCATCTTGTCGTGACATTTTGAAAAGCCGTAATTCCTTGGCCGCCGTCGCTAGTGCAATTGAACTTCCCATTTTTTATTTCATTTTATACTAGATCTTACCGAGGCCCCCGACATCGTGAGGCCCGGGGCCATAGCCCCCGTAACTCCCCCCCTAGATACAGCGCTGAAGTAATAATAATAACGTTGTAACAGAACATGCCAGGGAAACCAGTGCTATGGGTTCTTATACCAACGAAGGTATCTGTACAAACAATTTCGACAGATTGTAAAGCACAAAAATAGGTGTTAATTGATAATGCTTCGTCGATTATAAAAGTTTGCCTTCAAAAAGGGTATGGCGAATAACGTTAATTATTTCAATGTTGAATTACGTGATATGCATTAGTGTTATGGTGTTGCTGGTGGCGATGCATGTGGAACAAGACATGTGTATTACTGTGTATACTGAAACATATTCAAATAGAAGTATTCCACGACCGCTGTTTAGCGCTTTCAACACCAGGCTTGGACAATTTAGATCACTTAAAGGCTAAAAGCAAAAGTTTTTGACTTAGGTCGTCAGAGACGGACACGAACATAAAACATAAAATCGTATTATAAAAACCAAAGAGAATAATCTAAATCTTAGTGTAAGATTAATTAATGCTCAGGAAAATGTTTCAAAAAGTTCAGTGTACGACGTGTTAAAAGAACAACAACTTAATCCGGTTCATTTTTAGAAGTTTCATGTATTAAGTCAAAAGGCTTTTCTCATGATAATATGTGTAATGGAATCCTTATGGAATCTCCATAATGGCGAGGAAAATTTTCTAGAAAGTTTTCAATTCACGGATGAAGCGGGATTTCGGCGTGATTGAGATTGGGTTCAATGAATCTACATAATGATCATAAATAGGCTTATAAAAATCCTCATGCGACTGTGGAACGTAATTTTTAAAATAAGTTTTAATTAATTAATAAGACTATTTAGTTAGGCCATATTTTGTGCTTCCTAGACTCAATAGTGAGACCTACTTAGATTTGCTACGAAATCAATTCCCTGTTTTTTTTAAAGATGTGTGCCTCTTCAAGTTACGAATTCAATAGTTGGATGCGGATTCAATGCTTATTTAGGAGACGGAGCTCCTTCACATTATGGTGGAGCTGCTATCAGATACTTGAATTAAACATATCATGAAAGATGAGTAGGGCGGGAAGGATTTTAGAGTGGCCCACTAGGCTCCCAGATCTCCTGAGTTAAATTAATTTAAAAAAATCTAACTTTAACGCCCTGTAGATCAGTTATTATTAAATTTTCGAAAAAGTGTTATAGGAACTTGTCCCACCAATTTGTATTCTAGAACTATCAAATGAAGTGTTGCTCGCAATCTTTCCGAACGTCCTGTATTTTTTATGTCTTACTTCAGCATATGCTGCAAAGGGTAACCAACAGCCCTACAAATAGCAGAATGGATATGTCATTTTTTCATTTTACTCTGCGCAGTCCGCAGTTTGTCTCATGCAAAATAATTTAGGTATATGGTTCAAGATAGATTAGAGATATATAAGACTGAAGCCAGCGTTTCTATTGCAGAAAAAGTTATTGATGTTATTATTGGTTTTAACCAAGTGTTAGTTATCTCGGATTGTTAAAAGATGCAATCGATTCGGCAATACAACGATTATTGAAAATAATAATTATAATTACTAGAAACATCTATACTTATGCTGAAGAAGTAGTGATGATTCAGCAAGATGGAACACCTCATTTCGCAATAGCTGAGCGCAATTATTTCAATGAGAAATTTCCTTGCCACTGGATTGGACGAAGGGGCGCCATTGAACGGCCTCCACGATCCGCAAATCTTACACCTTTAGACTTTTTTTGGTGGGGTCATATTAAAAGTAAAATCTATGCTACTCAACCAGCGTCTTTATCTTACATCGGAAATCTTACAAAACGTGCGTGATTGACCCGTAGTCCCATTTGATCTGAAACAATTTCCCTTTCAAAAACAAAATTGAGGTGTCCGAGAGTTTTTCTTTTTTAAAAAGTTATAGGCACAAAATTGCTGGCGTTTCGTTTTAGATTCATCACCCTGTATATAAAACTTGGAAGGCTGCCTCGAAAAAGCGAAAATACACAGTACCTGCTGACATTTTTCACACCTGCTGTTGTGATCCAGTGATTACCGGTTAATACTGTTAATTTTGAGAACTTGAAATTGAAGCTTATGCGCTTATGATATATCTGGTATATATTTTTTCACCTTCCAGGTTTATGTTTATCGAATTCTAATTTATAAAGGATATAATAAAAATAATTTAAATATAAAAAAATTAAAGTATAGGCGCAAGTACGATGCTGACCTTACTACAACCGAATTTCAAAGTTCTATTATCATAGTTAATTGTAAATGTTTCCAGATCACTTCGCAGTTTTATATCACAACCGGCTTCATAATTATACAACATTTTTCACTAAATCACTAAAAATTTAAACAAACTCGACACAAAAAAATAATTTTTGAATTCGATAGACAGATGTTATATGATCTCGTTGGATGCTTAGACAACCATCGAGCTATAAAGTCAAGTTTTTATCCTGTTAAAAACAGTAAATCAGTTAATTAAATACATATTTGGATATTTATATTGTTGTTATATATGTTAAAAAATTAGAATTTTTAAGGCAAAAATAGAAAAAATTTAAATTTTATATCAAAACCATAAAAATATATGTGCGGTGCGGTGTAAGTAAAATATTTTGTTTTATTTTTTAGTTTTATGATACGCCTCTATAACACTAGTAAAAACACTAAGTAAGTAAAATTAATAATAAAATCAAATTAACACTAAGTAAAAAAATTATACAGAACAATGCGCTGTCGCCAAGCTTTCGATGACGACAGAGAATACTTATTATATGTCTATTCGACCTTGACGTTTATTTATAATTTATTTTAACCCTAAAATTCAAATTTTTCAAAATATTTTTATTGAGTTGGCTGCGCAAAGGAAAAAAAATATATTGCATTTGGTTAGTACCAGTAAAGGGGTATTACTTATCATTTGACCCTCTGACACATATTATCTTAACAAATTTGCATATCAGACCCAATCATCCATACGAATTTGAGACAGCAACTTGTGACTAACTCATTAACGTGTTTCAGTCTTTATAGCATCCAGAATGGGAGGCAAAAATTCGAAGTTGGATCCTATGGATGTGGAGGTTCCAGATATCAAGGCCCTTTTAGAGAGGGATCCATATTTACAACCTTATGAGGCAGAGATCCGTCGCCGGTAAGAAACTTTTAGTATAGAGGTCATTGAAGGACGTATAACATTTTGAAGTAAACAACACTTTAAATTAAATGAAAAAAAATCCGAATATGGCTTTTGGAGTAGTGACCAGATATCTTGTGTTTTAAAAGGGTATATAACATATATATAAGAAATCTCCCATTCTAAGAAAATTATATTTTAACTAAATTCGTTTTACGTTATTAAACGTTTTCATGCGTAAATTTAAAAAAGCTTTACAAAAACTTCTTTTTTACTCAATTTGAACACAGGTTAAACGTTATGCCACGGGGGTTACGTTACAAGTTACAATTATTTTATCAACTAAGATTAATTTCTTTATTATAGTCATTATAATAACTATAATACTTATAAGTAACAACCAAGTTAATTTTCCTAAAAAGTATCACACTAGAGATGTTGATTGTGTGGATATTAGTTTTGCAGTATTTGCTTCTAATCATTAGTACGTAATTATTTACACTATTCGTTACTTTGATTATCATACTAAACGTAACGTAAGTAGTAAGGGGTGTTTTTTTAGAGGTATGGTAATTCATGTTAGGTCATGATACTGGATTTATTGAAAATACAATTGTATGCCATTATAACTTTTAAATATGATTTCGGTGCCGCGATTGTCTCGCATGAAGAGCAATCCACGAAAGAAGTCCAATTTTCGACCATTTCGATTCCACTAGACCATACAAAAGCACTTCAAACAGTGAGTTTTTCTGGATATAACGGCGTCTCAATAATGGCTTTCGGATTTTCGATTTTCGTGGCTCCAAAATTCGGCAATTTATTTCGAAAATCGCTGTTAAGTTTACCTACTCAACGTGCGTTACGTTCATTTTACGGTCGACATAATCGTTTTTGGCTCAACTATCTAAGATGGGTGCAGGGGCGGATCCAGCTTTAAAGTCTTCTGTTGTTTATGAAATTAGAAAAATGATCGTCGTTGTGCAAGGATGGCGCAAGATTATTGCAAAATTTCATGTTTTCCGTCCCGTTTTGCATGTTTCTCGGAAGCAAAATGAGCAAGAACTCTCGTTTTTACATCATTC